ACAGTATGATATAATGGATGAGAGTACAGGCTCCCCCACTAGTGTTTTTGTAATTTGGGGAAGTTACTTAATCTTTCTAAACCTCAGTTTTTATCTGTAAAATGGAAATAATAAACATGTCTACCTTGAAGCTGTGGTAAGGAGTAAAGTCTATAATATAGAGAGAGCATGTGACACTCTTAGAAGTTATTGGTGTATATAAAGCACTTAATAATTGTTAGCTTCTTTTAGCTTATGTGTCACCTCAACATAAGTAGTTAACATGTATTATTTCTTGGAATCTTCAGAAGAACTGTATTGTTATTCCTTATTTTTTCAACTTTATTGAGGTTCTGTTAGCAAAATGTACATTGTGGTAATTTGATATACATGTACGTCATGAAAAGATTCCCATCATCTAGTTATTGTTATTCTTTACATTTTGCAGGTAATAAAACTGAGGCTTAGAGAAGTTACTTAACTTGCTCAAGGTCACACAGCTAGTAAGTGGTATTGATTCAACATTATTAGATTTGTTGGAATCTGCCTGCAATGGAGGAGACCCAGGTTTGATCCCTGGGTTGGAGAGATCCCCTAGAGAAGGGAGTGACTGCCTGCTCCAGTATTCTTGCTTAGAGAATTCCATGGACAGAGGAGACTGGCAGACTGCAGTCCATGGGGTCACAAAGAGTCAGATACGACTGGGAGACTAACTTTCACGGTTTCATGTTTTATGCATTCATGACATACCTAACTTTTTCTTAATTTTTTTTTTAGTATTTCTAGGCTATGTAGTTTGTGAGTTTTTTTCAAATTGTCACACATCTCCCCAAATTCTTCCAATTTGTTTATCAAAAAAAACCCTAAGTCTACGTGGACCTGCCCGCACAATTCAAAGCTGTGTTATTGAAGGGTTGGCCGTAGTTGAATGGGTCATGGGCTGGTGCACAAGGACAAAGGAGCATTTTAAACAATATTAAGAATGCTTCTGAGGCTTAATATATATATTTTTAGAGGGGCCCATCATAATTCATAAACTAGGGACATCAGTAAACGTTTTTAGGAAAGTGACATTCTTCATAAGTTTCTCTGTTTTTTGATTTGGTGACCTATTAAGCTTATTTATAAGTAAAACATACTCATGAAAAAATTAAAATTATAAGAGGTATAAAATGGAAAGTAAAGTTTTTTCTTTTCATAATCCCTCCCTACCATGTATGCAAATACATTTTCTGTACATTTTCTGTTTGTGTGTTTCTCCTATGTATATATGCATAAAGTGCATATATAAAGACATAACCTTTTCACAAAAACATAGGTGATGCTCTTCCTATACATTCTGCAACTTGCTATTTCACTTAGACTCCTTTCTATGTAGAATATGTAGATCTTCCTCCTCGGTGGCAGTGTCTTTGGAAGGACCTGATAGAATTTATTTAATTCATTTCTTGTTGATGGCCCTAACATCTTGCTGTATTTTTCTTTGTTTTTACTATTATGAGCAATGCTTCCTTCATTCTTAGTGCGCTCATCTTTGTGTACTTAAGTGAGAACATTGCTGGATCAAAAGATGTATTCATTTTGAATTGTAATAAATACTGTGATTTTTTTCCTCAAAGAATAAATTCATCCTCCCATCAACAATATACAGTGGTGCCGGTTTCCCCAAAGTGTTACTGCTGGGCGCACTGTGAAACTAAGTTTTTGTTTTAGGATGCATTTCCTATTTGAGTCGAACTGAGCTGTTAATTTGCTTAGTATTTGTATTTATTTTTCTGTGAACTTTCTGTGAGTAGTCTGTCATTTTTCTATTGGGTTTTTAGGCTTTTTCTAAAGCACTCATTGTAGCCCTTTGTCATAATTCTTGGAAATATTTTTTCCAGTTTGTTGTTTGATCTTTGACTTTATTTATGGTTGTCTTTTTATTCCCGATTATAAGTATTTAGTATTTATGTAGTCATATTGGCAGACTTTTTCTAAATAGGTCTTAAGTGATACTTTTAAACCCAGCTATTGCTCTTTGAAATACAAGTTTTTCCTGGGAGACCACATAGATAAGTCTCTTTAAAGATGGCTTGAAATTTCTTATCCACTATTCTTTAGATGCTGCTCTTGAACATTAACATGTGGCTTTTAAATCCTATCTACAAATGGAAGTGGTGATGACATCCTGTAGACTGGTGTTTTTAATCATGGGTTTAGGATCTGAGAGATTGGCACTCCTTTAGCAATTTAAAAATTAATCAGAAGCATTTTAAAAACTGTTATCTTATAATTTTATTATTTTGCTTGCTTATTTACTTATTCATTTATATTTACAGAATAATAAGGCTGTCTGCAAAGATTTGAAAAATGGCAACAAATGAAAGTATCAGCATCTTCAGTTCAGCATCCTTGGCTGTGGAATATGTAGACTCACTTTTGCCTGAGAATCCTCTGCAGGAACCATTTAAAAATGCTTGGAACTATATGTTGAATAATTATACAAAGTTCCAGATTGCAACATGGGGATCTCTCATAGTTCATGAGGTCCTTTATTTCTTGTTCTGTTTACCTGGATTTTTGTTTCAATTCATACCTTACATGAAGAAGTACAAAATTCAAAAGGTGAGTATAATGGACTTCATTGGAGTATTATCATTAGTCTTGTTGAATATTTTTAAAGTAAATATAATTTGTAACTGAAAATAGACTGTACGTCAGGGCTGTCTAATAGACATGTAATGAAGCCACATATATAATTCCCTACTGGAATATGTTAAAAAGTAATAAAAAGGGGGGAGTAATTTCACAGTGTATTTAGTTTAATCCAATAAATCTCAATTATATTTCAATAAGTAATCAAAATTTAAAATGTACTTAATGGGATATATTGTGTTCTTATTCTTACAATAAGTGTTCAAAATTTAGTGTATCTTTTACACTAATTTCAGCTCATCTCAATTAAGACTAAGTGAATTTAAAATGTTCAGTAGCCACATCTCTAGTTGCTACCATATTACACAGCACAACCCTAGATCATTACTGATAAGGTTTCAGAAAGAATTGGTTGAATTGTGCCTTCAATAGATGTGATGTTTATCTAATTTGAGTTTATAAGTTTTAATTAAATTTTTTAATTGAGTTGATATACAATAAATTAGTTTCAGATGTACAGCATTGTGATTCAGAATTTTTGTACATTATGCGCCACTTAACATTATTATGAAATACTGGCTATATTCCCTAAGCTATCCTTGTTTTGATGTGCTTAGTCGCTCAGTCGTGTCCAACTCTTTGCAACCCCATGGACGTAGCCTTTGAGGCTTCTCTGTCCATGAGGATTCTCCAGGCAAGAATACTGGCATGGGTTGCCATGCCCTCCTCCAGGGGATCCTCCCAACCCAGGGATGGAATCCAGGTCTCCCATATTGCAGGTGGATCCTTCACCGTCTGAGCCTCCAGGGAAGCTAACACAGGAAATAACAAGTAAAAGGGAAGTAACAAGGAAGTAATAGCCTTGTTACTTATCTATTTTATATGTAGTAGTTTGTACTTCTTAATCTCCTACCTCTATCTCACTCCTTTCCTCTTCTATCTCCCTGCTGGCTGTAATCTCTAGTTGGTTCTCTATATCTGAATCTATGTCTTGTTTTATTCATTCGTTTGGGTTTTTTTCTCACATCTAAGTGATAACGTACATATTTGTCTTTCTCTGACTTATTTCACTTAGTATAATACCTTCCAGGTCCATCCACGTTGTTGCAAATGGCAAAATTTCATTTTTTTTAATGGCTGAGTAGTTTATTGTGTGTATATATACCCCATCTTCTTCCACCATTCATCTGTCGATGGACACTTAGGTTGCTTCCATCTCTTGGCCATTGTAAAGAATGCTGGTGTGAATGTATGGTGTGCATGTATCTTTTCTAATTAGTTTTTTTGTTTTTTTCATATATATACACAGGAGTGGAATGACTGGGTCATAAGCTGATTCTACTTTTAGTCTTTTGAGGAACCTCCATACTGTCCACCAGTTTACATTCATGTCAACTGTGTGCCGAGGTTCCCTTTTCTTCACATCCTCACCAGCATTTGTATTTGTAGTCTTTTTTGATAATAGCCATTCTGACAGGTGTGAGGTGATATCTCATTGGGATTTTTATTTGCATTTCCTTAATGATTTGTGATATTGAGTACTTTTTCATGTGTGTATTGGGTATCTGTATGTCTTCTTTGGGAAAATGTCTGTTCAAGTTTTAATGCTCATTTTTATATCAAATTATATAAACTGTTTTTATGTTTTAGATATTAACCCCTAATCAGTCTTGCAAATTAAATAACTTGCAAATATTTTGTCCCATTCAGTAGTTGCCTGTGTTGTCAGGATTTTCCTTTGCTATGAAAAACATGCTTTTAAGTTTAATTAGGTCCCATTTGTTCATTTTTACTTTTGTTTCCTTTGCTTTAGGAGACAGATCTAAAAAGGTATTATTGTGATGTGTTATCTTCTGTGAGTTTTATGGTGTTCCCATACAAATATTAAAATTATTTGTTCCAGTTCTGAAAAAAAATGCCAGTGGTGTTTTGATAGGGATTGTATTGACTGTACAGATTATCTTGGGTAGTGTTGTCATTTTCATAATAATTCAATTCAGTATAACAGTTCTTCCAATCTAAGAACATGATGTATCTTTCCATTTATGTTATCTTCAGTTTCTTTCATCCGTGTCTTAAGAGTTTTCTGAGTACAGATCATTTACCTCTTTAGGTAGGTTTATTGCTAGTTTGTTTTTATTCTAAATATAGCATGGTATTTTTGCAGCATTCATGTCATCTTCACAAAACTGATGATGTTCCTGACCTCTCAGTATTTGCTTCAGTGCACTAAGTATTTCTTGAGAGCTTGCATACGTGGTCCATCTTCTCAGGTTTAGACATAGGGAAAATAATCAACTCTTGTAACTAAAGAGTTTGACAAAGTTCTCAGGAAGGAATCTTTACCATATTGTTAAAGAAAGAAATAATTTATCAGCACTTAGTAAACTTATAATCGTTTGTAATGCTTACTATGAACTTTTTTCAAAAAGTCATGGCAAACTCAGTCTCGGGCACATAGTCTTGATGTAAAGTAGGCATTTGGGGATGTTCATCTAAGGGAGGCTGGTTGCACTCACAGAGTTCTGTCTGGTGGCAGTACACGCATCCTCTGTAATCCATCTCTTCACTTTGTAGCGTCTCCTGGTGAGTCTCACTTTAAGCAACTGCTAGCGTTCATCTTTTCTGGGGATACTGCAGGGGGCAACTGCTTGTAGACTCCAGGTCAGAGGAGGGAAGAGCAAAGATTAAAGGGAGAAGGAATTAAAAAGGCTGAAGCCTGAAGGAGAGCATCCTGTTACTGTAAATAAAGGACACAACGTTTCCAAAATGCTTTTTATAAAAAGCTCTGCTTTGAAAGGCAGAATTGTGTTTAAATGTCTTTAAGTTCTCATGCATGTTTGGAATTCTCATGCATGTTTGGAATTCTGACTGCAGTGGGTCACCCAGTGCGTTATTTATGGGGTTGATTGATTTGTATAACTGTACAGGCCAAACTATCCCTCTCTGCCTTCTGCCCTCTACAGCTGACTCGCTAGTCAGAGGTGGTAACTTTTTCAGAGAGAGAAAGGCCTGTTTCAGTTAAGATTTTATGAAGACTCCAGAGAAAAATGCGACAAAAGAAAGGACAAGCAGTAGTCTAGTTTACAACTAGTTACTTATAAACAGAGATCGAAAGCCTTCAAATCTGTACTTAGCATGTGTTTCTTGAGTTTCGCAACCATTAAAGTCCCTGCTTTGAGATTTTTTTAATAATAAAATTAACTGAAGATAAATCAATACAAGTTTTCACAATATAAATGGATTTAAAAACAAGCCAGTAAGTCAGTATAAGTTAATTACAAGTTTATGCATTTTGAAGGCAGATACCCTGAAACACTGAGAGTATAGAAAAAAGTTGCTGGTGGAGCAACACCAAAAATTCTGCTTTGAAATAGAATAGACAGTTAATGTTATAACTGATTTCTTTTTCTGTTAATTTCTGCAGCTACATCAGTGTTAGATTCTAGCCAAGATATCACTAGTTAGTTAAACATAGTTCTTTGGGGAAAAGAGTGGCTTTTTCCAGCCAAGCCAGAGTCTTTGATTTATTTTGTCCTTAGTCACAGACTGGAAGTTCAGAGGAGCAAGGTCAGATCATGCTCAGAGCAGAGATAGACAATTATAAATTAATCTTGCCTAATTCCCTCATTTCATTGTTGAGACTGAGGTGTGAGCTTCACAGAGGCCCTGAGGTTAGAACCAAGTCTCTGACTGAACTCTTCCTTCCTGACTGAACTCAGTTGAACTCTTCCTTTGTCAGGGAGGGAAGCTCTTCTAAAGAATTTCAGGAACAATACTGGAACCCTAGATTTTAGTTAGTCCTAAGTTCTGCTAATAACTGCCTGTGTGATGCTGGGCAAGGTGGTTGACCTCTGGGCCTCTGCTGAGGTCAGTGGTTTCCATTGCAGATTTCTGAATTTAGGGGTATTAGGACATTTAAAAGGGCAATAACTATTTATTATTACGATCTTTTTGTAAAACCAAAAGGACCTCATAACTAAGTAGAGCCCTTTGAATTGAATACATTTTCACTTTTCTTTATGGCTTGCTGAGCAAGTTGATAATCCTGATGGGGTTTTGTGAACATTTCTCTACATTGATCACTTCCTCATTTCACTTTAATCTGTGAACTTCATCTGTGGCCAGTAGCACTCCATTCTTTGGGAACCACCAGACACATTTGTTTCTGGAGTTCTTTCAGCTCAGAGAGTTTCTACTTTTGTCAATGGGTATGAAAAATGCACTTATTTCTGGGAATGAAAACCACTGAATGGTGTTGATTTACCTGTGTAGTAAGGCTTTCAATGCTGTGTGTATAGCTGCCTCAGCAATTCAGAGAACTAAGCTATTATTGTAGCATGACACATGTCTTCATCTATGGAATTCCTGATAAAAGTAAATGATCCGTGGGCAGCAAAAGCAGGAGTTACTCATTCTGTAGTGTTGCTTAAAGATCATTGGGACCATTATGCCTGAGCCTGAGTTTTGACAATTTCTTCATCTGTTTATAGTAGTGATAATAGTTGTCAAGAATTTAGAAGGTGGGGGTGAGTGTTGTAGTTCCTGGGCCTTAGTTACTGTAACATAGCAATTATAATACAGAATCCACATAACATAGGATTAATTAAATAACATAAATTTCAGGTCCCATATAAACATTAGAGAAAAAGCTAAGACTTTACTTTTAGTTTTCAGGTGAAACTTCTGATAGCAGAGGCTAATACTAAATGTTTTCATCTTTTTCTCCATAGGATAAACCAGAAACATGGGAAAACCAATGGAAATGTTTTAAAGTGCTTCTCTTTAATCACTTTTGTATCCAGCTTCCATTGATTTGTGGAACTTATTATTTTACAGAGTATTTCAGTATTCCCTATGATTGGGAAACAATGCCAAGATGGTATGTAGATTAAGATTTGATTTTTATACTCAGTTATGGTTTATCATCCTATTAAAATATCCTTAGTGTTACCTTCTTTCTTCATTTGGTTAATGTTTGTTCTTAACTTTGAAGTAAATAAAATATAGAAAACATGGTAGAAACTTGAAATGTTCCCATTTTTATGTGTTTCAATAGTTTGATATCTTTTTGGAGGGTGAGTTTCTTACATCAGAAGTTTCCATGGCATCCTTTATATGATTATGTACAGGATACAGAGACTTATACCAAGAAAAAATATATTACATTTTAAGTCTAAAATGAATGAAAAAAATGAGTATAAAGTTATAAAAATTGTGTCCATACAGACACATATATATATATTATCTGAGCATAAATATTTTTGTTCAAATAATTTTTGTATTCTAGCTTTCTGTTCTGACTAAACCTGAATACAGATATACAATATATAGATATGTGCTTTTCCTATTACTATATATGCAACATATAAGAGAATTTGTGTATTTGTTCCTATATAAATAAAATATTTTTGCCCATTGCACTTACATGCTTCTCTTTGGCAGAAGAAAGTGATTTTACTATTATTAATAGTAAGTCCTTTATCAGTGTTACTCTTTGCCTAGAAATTTTGAGTTTTGTTTCTTAGCTCTGATTTTATAACTTACTTTTTTTTTTAAATTGAATTAGAATTGGTGTGGTGGTCAGCCTCTTTAACCCATCTTCAGGTGGTATCATATATCTAGCTTGTAACTATATATATTGTTTTGAGAATTTGTTGATCAATATAACCAGTTAGGTCAAGATGGTATTTGATTTTATGCAGTGTCTCCAGCAGTGATCCTAGGTAAAAGTCTAGATTGTTTTAGTAAGTTATTTTATCCTCATTACAGTATTTTCATCTTAAAGGTACATGCTTTTGGCAAGATGTTTCGGCTGTGCAGTGATCGAGGATACTTGGCACTATTTCTTGCATAGGCTTTTACACCACAAAAGAATATATAAATATATTCATAAAATTCATCATGAGTTTCAGGTATGTTAGAATTATATTTAATATATTTTTCACTCTTTGAGGCAAAAATGTTATTTTTTTAAAAAATCTGAACTTAAAAAAGTTGTCAGTGATGTTTTTATTTCAATTTCCTTTGGCATGATTGTTTAGAATAGACACACACACATAAACATGAACACAAAGCTGGTTCTACAGATTTTTCACTAGTATCCTAATTTCGTGGTAAATTGAGGCCTAAAAGAAAAATATTCATTTTTGTATTTTGGTTCAGAGCACTGTCCTCACACAGCTGGGTACCTAGCAGTTTGATGGAGGCACTAATGCTGTTACGATCATTTAAGTGGGATCCCAAAACAAGCAGCCTTGAATCATTAAATTTTTAAAACAATTTTCAACTTAGTTTTCATGCTTTTCCACCTCATTGCTAACTTCTTCCCACCCAACAGGGATTTTTTTTTTTTTTTTTTTAATCAGAACTGCTTTGTTGTTAGCTTTGTCAGATTTGTTACGTAGGTATGTTCTGCATTGATCCTGATTACCTGATATGATAAACCAAATATCCCTTTCTTGGCAGAACAAATTCAGGTATATAAACGAAAATTAGAATTCAAGTCTGTTCTTTTAATGCCTTTATCTCAAACCATTAAAATAGATCATATTAAGGACATCCCTAGGCCTTTTAATGTTTGGTAAAGAGATATCTTTATTGAGAATTACTGTTAATGTTTATATAGGTATGGCTAGATATACAGTTGACCCTTAGTGTCCATGGGTCCTGAATTCATGAATTCAACCAACTGAAGATGCACATCCTCTTTAAACCCTCATTGAAAATATTTGGGAAAAAAATTTCAGAAAGTTCTTAAAGGCAAAACTTGAATTTGCCTTGAGTGGGCAACTATTTACATAGCATTTAAATTGTATTTACAACAGTTACACAATTATATAGCATTTATATTGTATTAGGTCTTGTAAGTAATCTGTAGATGATTTAAAGTATATGGGAGGTTGTACATAGGTTATGTGCAAATACTGCACCTTTTTATTAAAGTTTGGTATCCATGGGGGTCCTTGAACCAATCCCTTTAGAATACTGAGGGATGACTATATTATCGTAACATATAGAAGGGATATAGTTTTATAAAATGATATACACAAATAAATTTAAAATACATATATATATTAGTCAGGGTTCTCCCAAGAATCAATAGGAGATACATACACACAGATTTATTTTAAGGAACTGGCTCATGCAATTGTGGGGGCTGGCAAATCTGAAATCTATAGGGCAGCTAAGTGGCTGGGAATGCAGGAGAGATGCAGTCCTGGATCTGAAATCCATTGGGCAACAGGCTGGAAAGCACACAGGTTTTCTGTACTGTAGTCTTGAGCATTCCTTCTTTCCTTGGGAAGCCTCAGTCTCTGCTTTTAAGGCCTTTAGCTGATTGAATGAAGCCCACTTTCATTATGGAGGATCCTCTTTTCCGATTTAAATATTAAATATTAATCACATCTAAAATAGAACTTCACACCAAATCTAGACTCGTGTTTGACCAAGCAATTGGGCACCATGGCCTAGATAAGTTGATGCATAAAATTAACCATCACAATATATTAAGCAATTCTTACTTATTTTAGGCTCCATTTGGAATGGAAGCTGAATATGCACATCCTCTGGAAACCATAATTCTTGGAACTGGATTTTTCATTGGAATCATGCTTTTATGTGATCATGTTATTCTTCTTTGGGCCTGGGTGACTGTTCGTTTGATAGAGACTATTGATGTCCATAGGTAAGGTTTGGTTTCTATTCAGGTAGAAGGTATCATAAAATATCCTTTCTTCATGGTCATAGATTATCTTTCTTATTTTTTTTAATTGAGATGTAATTGACATATTGTGTTTTAGGTATACAGTGTATACCTAAATAATGGTTTGATGTATATATTGCTGATCCATCTTTATACATTGTTATAATTTTTTGTGTGTGTGATGAGAACTTTTAAGATTTACTCTCTTTGCAGCTTTCAAATTCACAGGACTGTTGACTTCAGCCTCTTTGTTCTTCATGACATGCCCAAGGCTTACTCATCTTACAGTTGGAAGTTCATACCTTTGTCCACTTTCACCTGTTTTACATACTCATAGTCATTGTCATAGATTACCTTTTCTCCTAAGTAGACTAATAGAAGTTAAACCTTGTTAATGTTACTTTTTTTAAGAAAACAGGAGAACAAAATTGTTGGGAAAAAGTTCAAATAATAGACTTTTTTTTGTATTCTTGTCTATAACTGTTATCATTTTTATGGTGAGACTATATTCATGTATTATTTGGGAAAACAAAATTTTGGATGTGCTGCAAAACTGGGAATGGGCATCTCTTTACGTGCCCAGCAGGAGCCTGCAAGAATGCTTTCCCTGCTTCTGATACCTTTTCCAGCCTGGACATTACAATCTCGTTAATCTTGGTTATTAGGAGAGCAGAGAACCTTCAGGGTTGTGATCTGCATTCCCCAGGGACTGGTGAGGCTACATGCCTGTGTGCTTGTTGACCAACAGTTTTTTTTTTTTTCTTTGAATTAGCATTTTATATCACTTGCCTACTTTTTGTTAGGTTATATGTTTTATAACCTATTATGAAAAAGTGAAAGTGTTTGTCACTCTGTTGTGTCCTACTATTTGTGACCCTGTGGTGTGTAGCCCATCAGTCTCCTCGATCCATGAAATTCTCCAGCCAAGAGTACTGAGGGATGGAGTGGGTAGCCATTCCTTCTCCAGGGGATCTTCCCAACACAGAGATTGAACCCAGGTCTCTCCTGCATTGCAGGCAGATTTTTTACCGCCTGAGCCACCAGGGAGACTTATAACATTTTGGTTCACGTGTAAGCTTTGTTCATTTCAGTTCAGTTTGGTCTCTCAGTCATGTCTGTCTCTTTGCAGCCCCATGGACTGTAGCACGCCAGACTTCCCTGTCCATCACCAACTCCCAGAGCTTGCTCAAACTCATGTCCATCGAGTTGGTGATGCCATCCAACCATCTCGTCCTCTGCGTCCCCTTCTCCTCCTACCTTCAATCTCTCCCAGCATCAGGGTCTTTTCTAAGGAGTCAGTTCTTGAATCAGGTGGCCACAGTACTGGAGCTTCAGCATCAGTCCTTCCAACGAATATTCAGGACTGATTTCTTTTAGGATTGACTGGTTTGATCTCCTTGTAGTCCAAGGGATTCTCAAGAGTCTTTTCCAACACCTTAGTTCAAAAGCATCAATTCTTCAGCTCTCAGCTTGCTTAATGGTCCAACTCTCACATCCATACATAACTACGGGAAAAATCATAGCTTTGACTAGGTGGACCTTTGTTGGCAAAGTAATGTCTCTGCTTTTTAATATGCTGTCTAGGTTTGTCATAGCTTTTCTTCCAAGGAGCAAGCATCTTTTAATTTCATGGTTGTTACATGAAATTACAACATATGTAACTTTGTTACATATGTTGTAAATATTTTCTCCCCCATCTGTCATTTCAGTTTTAACTCTTGATGGTTCTTTTGCAGTACTGAAGTTTTAAAATTTTTATATAGTAAAATCTATCAGTTTTATTTTTTTATGGCTTTTGGGTTTCATGCCTTGCTTGAAAAGCAAGTTTAATGTCTTCCTGAAACAGTATTGAATGAAAAATATTTGTGGTTTTAATAAAAAATTTGGTTAAATACTGTAATTCAGGACAGCAGTTATTTTATTCTTCTGTAATGACCCTAAATCTAACCCTTACTTGAAAAAAAAACTGAAGCATCCAGCCTTCACTAAATAGAACATTTCTGCACATTTCTGCCCACCACT